TTTTATACTGCTTATCTCTAGAGGTGTTCATGGTAGAGTACTGGGACTTGGTACTGGGGTATGTAAATCAGGAAGTGTTTGTGGAAGAATACTGGAACTTGGTATGGAGTTGTGTATACACAATGTATCAATTGCTCTTGGAAAAAATGTGAGTTATTAAAAAAGGAGGCATGTCGCCTCCCATACATACTAAAAACTTCTTAATACATATCTCTGGAAGGATAGAAAATCTCTCGAGGTATTTTAAATTTGATATGGAGATTTATTTTATAAGTGCCGTACTGACACAATAAATTTCATTAAATGGAAAAGGGAGAGCCGGGTTCGGCCTTATAATCTAAAGCTCTCTTGAGGCATTTGCTACAGTAATGAGAAGTGGTATTTTATCAAGTCTAGGTTACTAAATTTGAGTTGGAAATATTAGAACCCGCCGTGGCACCTCCAAGAAGGTTACACGTTCACGCGTCGTATACCTGGAACCATTTTAAGGTAAACTTAGAGGGATTGATATCTTTCGTATACCTAGCGCGCAGACGAGATTTTATAATTTCATAGTTTTAAACGGCCTAAATACCTTAACTCGCTTAAAAAATAACGAGCTATAACGAAAAGGGGTGAAACCCGCGGGTATAAGCTAGTATATACATATGTAAGTAACAAAATTTGACTTCTGATGTAGAGCTTTAATTAATCAAGTATAACGAAGTTTCCTTTGTTAACTAAAAATAGTTTAATGGATTTATTAGTCTTTCTACTTAATTCAAATAAAACATGTTAATTTTAGCTGCAACATTTTAGCCGTTTTTAGCCGTTTTTTCTCTCAGTTTAAACGTTATTGTTAAATTTTTAAAAAGTGGTACACTGTGATTTAAATATACTTGTTTGGTCTTTTTAAGCATTGTCATTCTTTTATCCGTTTTAAATAGAACCCATACAACCTGAAATCATCTTCGCTTATCCTAAATCAATATCTCTCTTAAGAGCTCTACAAAAATATGTTTCCTTCATTAATAATTCAAATATTGAATATATGTACATTTTCTCTTTCCCCTCGCTATATTTATAGATTTGTGCAGTCATCGCCGATCATGGTGGTTTTGGGCTGAAAGTGTTAAAAAGGAATTTCCAGAAAAATTCTACGCAGTTAAAGTGAAAAATTGGGCAGATTTCAAAAATGGCAAATTTATAGATAACGAGGATTACAGGGTTATCATGGGCCATGATTGTCCTACGGAGTATGTATGCTCTTGTTGTTATTTTCTCTATATCGACATGTTTGACATATAACCTACTTTTATTTGTAGCATTTCAGGTGACTATTACTTGCAAACTAATGGTGTCCCACCATATGCAAGGAACCTTGCTGGCGTAAGTTATGTTCACCCGACGAAGCTTAAAGGAAATACTCCCGATGAATCTAAAAAAAGTGGAGTCAACAAAAACATAGCACATGGATAATTTTTCATAGTATACCATAAATTAAGTTTTTTTCTGAAAACATGTATACATATTTGTAAATTATCTGTTCGCTACTACATATGGCCAATTCTACGGCTGGTAACGTTACATTCGCACGAAGTTTTTATTTAGTTTAGATGAAATGGCCACAAAGATACAACAAAGATCTAAGATTTTCAGGCTTAGGTTATTAAACAAAGCTAAATCTACATCTGTGTGGTAAAATTTGGTTTAAAGTTTCCTTAACGCAAGTTATTAGCGCATTAAGTGCACTGGCAACGTTACATCATTTGGAAGTAAAATGAAAAATAAGTTCATATTTTTGAAAGTTCTGCGAACTGATCGATACAATTATTACGATTTTAATCTATGTTATGCCGCAAGGTAAATACATAATGCAAGGTAAGTACATAATGCGTCAACAAAAATTTTACGGTTTTTAATGTATTTTAAGGACAATTTAGGCACTGGCTACGTTACCCAAAAGAGAATTTCCATGTGCATCAAAATTCTCTGGGAACACAATATCTATGAATAATTGTATCGTTGTGCTAATATCCTTTAGTGTTGCTCTAACAGGCATGTGCAGAGAATGAACAGGTCTTTAAAAACGGGAACGCTTCGAATATATGGATATCAAAATAAAATTACATAGTTTAATTGTTAAAAACTTAAAAACTGACCGGCTTGTTCAATATAAATTACTGGCTTTTTTCTCGAAATAATGTTGCCCTATTTTCCTCAGCCCTTTCACAGATTTACGAGTTCATTTAACAAAATATTGCCCTCCAAGCAAAAGTGCAATACTTCCTACTAATATAGCCATTTTGCAGGACGAAAAGTAACTTAGTGCAAATGTTACAATATAAGGCAAAATTTTTCAATAGAAAACAACGCCTAAGCTTGTAATGGATCTATTTTTTATCTTACTAATATTATAAATGTGAAAGTTTGTATGTTTGGATGTTTCGGAAATCATCACGCGGAAACGACCGAACGGATTTGCATGAAATTTTGTACGCGGATAGCTTATGGCCCAGATTGGTTAATAGGCTATTATTTTTTTAAGAGTTGCCACCTGTTAAAAAGTTTAATTTATTTAATATGCGGGAACGACTGAATGGATTTGCATGAAAATTTGCACAAAGATAGCTTATGGCCTAGATTGGAAAATAGGCTAATTTTCTTAAGAGTTGCCACCTATTAAAAAGTTTCATTATTATTATTATTTCATTCCTTAACCGGTTTTCCGATCAGAACGAAATTTAGTACACTTACTACGGATTTCGGAAAGATGGTCTTAGACTGAAAATAAGTCCGATAACTCAAGGCCCCTCCCATACAAATTGGAATTTTCATATTACATACATATCTCTGAAAGTATTAGTGGGAGAGAACTGAAACTTGGTATAGTGATATGTATGTGAAATCAATGATGGCATTAATCGATTGATGTTTTAATCAGTTAGTTAATTCGATTAAAATCAATCTGATTACAATTAATCATGATTAATTTTAATCTGACTAAACAGTTAATCGTAACCGCGATTAAAAAATTAATTTTTTTCTTAATTTGATCAAGCAGGTTTGGTGATTAATTAAGTTATGCTGGAATTTCCCTGTGCACACAAAGCAAGTTAATCCGGTATGGCTAAGTCGGGTTTCCTCATCAATCTAAGCAATTTGGTGTGCATTTTCATTAAGATATATACCAACAAACGTTTTACAAAGTAGGTTTGTAAAAGTTCCCAGTTTAGGTATTACTAATAACAATAATTGTAATTTTTTTATAATACGTGCTTTTTATAAGCGTTAACACACAAAATAATTACTATAACTCGTGTTTGGTTTCAAACTCGGACAAACTAGACAAATTAATCAGATTTTATTTTTAATTGGATTAACGATTAATGTTTTAAATTAATTAAACGTAATCGCAGCCAGCGATTAACGATTAAAAATATGTTACGACTAATTAATTTTAATCGTCAAATGCGATTAACATTTTAATCGTTAATTTTTAATCGTTAATCAGATTAACAGTTTGCCAATACTGTGTGAAATCATGTTCATATTCACGGAGAAAAATGGACGTTTTTGGAAAAGAGGCGTAGCACCTCCCATACTAACTGAAAGTTTCATATTGCATATCTCTTCACATGTTTGGGGTAAAGCACTCAAGCTTGGTATGGAAATACATATGTATGTATGTATGTGAAACTAATACCATACTCATGGAGAAAAATGAGAGTTATTGGAAAAGGTGGTGTGGCAACTCCCATGCAAATTGATTTTTCTATGCTACATATCTCTGGAGGTGTTTATTGCAGAGGACTGGAACTTGGCACCGAGATGTGTACACAAAATAAATTCCATACTCATGGAGAAAAATTTGCGTTATTCGAAAAGGGGACATGGTTCGTCCCGTACAAATTTACTGTTTTATACTGCTTATCTCTAGAGGTGTTCATGGTAGAGTACTGGGACTTGGTACTGGGGTATGTAAATCAGGAAGTGTTTGTGGAAGAATACTGGAACTTGGTATGGAGTTGTGTATACACAATGTATCAATTGCTCTTGGAAAAAATGTGAGTTATTAAAAAAGGAGGCATGTCGCCTCCCATACATACTAAAAACTTCTTAATACATATCTCTGGAAGGATAGAAAATCTCTCGAAGTAATTTAAATTTGATATGGAGATTTATTTTATAAGTGCCGTACTGACACAATAAATTTGATTAAATGGAAAAGGGAGAGCCGGGTTCGGCCTTATAATCTAAAGCT